AGAAGACTATCATGAAGAAGTAGGGAGACACCAGTGAACTGGAAGCCTGTTGTAATAGGCATAGTTGAATGTTGGGGGGAAAAGGATATTGTGTTTAAAGTGAGTGCTTGATATACTGATTTTGGAGGTTTGTGATGATAAATTAATTATGGAATGACTGGCATATAAGGGAGGGTACATATAGTTATTAGAGGTCAGGGTCAGTAAGAATTGAGAACATGGCACTGTGTATGCATTAGAATTAGATTTGCTTTCTAATCACAGAAAATCCAAAATAAAAATAAGTAAGTAATATACAGTTTACTTCCTCATTTAAAAGAAAGTTTGATATTGGCAGTACCCAGTGCCAGTATGCAAATTCCACGAAGTCATTAGGGACTCCTGTTCAGTTTCAAATCTACAAACCAGCACATGGTTACCATTCTCAAGGTTGCTGTGTCCAAGATGTCTACTAGAGCTTCAGTCATTCATTTTTATTCTGGGCAGCAGGGAGAGAAAAGGGGAAGTGTCAGTCAGATCTTTTCCTGGCTATCATTTTCTGCTTTAAGGTGACTTTCCAGAAGTCTCTCCCAACAAATTCTGGTTGCATGATATTAGTCTTAGTTACATGGCCATAGTTTGCTTTGAGGAATATTGGGAAATGTACTATTTTGTCTGGGTATATTACAACCCCCTAATAATGTAGGGGTCTTGTTAGTAAGAAAATGGGAAGAGCGGATGTGGAAAGGAAGCTGGCAGTCTCTGCCACAAGTATTGATTAGCTGTGTGAACAAGGATTATGATGAAAGAACACGGAGGTCCGAGGGTGATTATAAGCATAACAAGATCAAGTGGAAGACGGTGGCAGGAGCCTTAGACTAGCATGTTCAGAAGACATTGAGGAAATGCTGGGATACAAAGAGAAAACCAGTCATGCTTGCCAATCCTGAGATAGGAGAGATATAAGACAATTAAAAATGACTACTCGAGAGGACTGCAAATGATTTCTTTAAGTAACATGCAGATTTTAGTTAAGACAAAACAGAGGGAGAAGGAATCTGAGGAGGAGATTATGAAGTAGTTCCAAGGAATACAGTAGAAGTCATGGGGTCTTGGGGAAGAGGCATGGGCTAGGTTAGGGTAAGAAAATACTATTTATACTTGAGAGGAGTGAGAATGCAGTGAGTGGTGATTTTTTTTTTATCTTCATCCAAGGACATTTTTCTATTTTTTTGTTCAGATAGAGTGGGAGGAAGAGAGAGAGAGGAAAACATCGACGTGAAAGGGTCACATTGAGTGGCTGCCTCCCGCACAACCAGGGCCGGGGACAAACTGCAACCGAGGTACGTGCCCTTAGTGAGAACTGAACCCAGGTCTCTCTGGACCACAGGCCGATGCTCTAACCGCTGAACCAAACCTGCCAGGGCTGCACTGTGATTCTTAACCTTGTGGTCAGCTATCCACATGAGTTGGAAAAAATATAATTAAACACAAATCTCCAATATATTATATAAATTATTTATAAATTACATTTATGTATTGATGTACTAATACCATATGTATTATAAAAGCTATAAAACAGCCCTGGGCGGTTTGGCTCAGTGGTTGGAGCGTCGGCCTACGGTACAGAGAGACCCGGGTTCGGTTCCCGCTAAGGGCATGTACCTCGGTTGCAGTTTGTCCTCCGCCCTGGTTGGTCGTGTGGGTGGCAGCCGCTCAATGTGTCCCTTTCACATTGATGTTTCTGTTTCTCTCTCTTTTCCTCTCTCTCCCTCCCACTCTATCTGAACAAAAAATGCAAAAATGTCCTCGGGTGAGGATAAAAAAAAAAAAGCTATAAAACATAGACAATTTAAGAGACTGAGACAAAAAATATCAATAGAAATGCTAATATTTTCCCCCACACCTCAGCCAATTGTTTTGCCAATTCCTGGGATCATGTGGGTCTCACAGGCTTCAGCCTCAGTATAGCTTAGGACAGTAACTCTACTAGGGGAAATATAAGCAACCTGGCATGAAATTAAACAAGGAGGCCATTAGACTGATGTGGCTCTAATGCTGTGGCAACCTAAGTAAGCAAAACTGAAATCTAAGCCTATCAATGTTTGTTACTAAATCAAAATTCTAAGGACCGCCAATCACAGGCAGCCAAGGAGGCTTTAAGTTATAGCCAATCAATGATTTCCTCTCTTCTGCACTTTCTCTATATAAGTCTTTCCTCTGCCTTCTGTCGGTGGAGCACTCCTAACCACTATTAATTTGGTGCTACCCTGTTTGAATTGATTTTGCTCAAATAACTTAATTTTTTTAATATGCTTCCATTTATATCTTAACATTTCCTAGTCTTAACTAAAAGCCTTCCTCTTAAAATTAAGAGTAATGACACAAAATTCCTTAGAAAATTTTGGTAATACAATAAGACATTGTAAGTTTAAATTTGAGAGGGAAGTATAACAGTTACAGATATTATCATATAAGGAGATGATCTTTGATCTGAGATCTCAGCAAAATCAAATAGGCAGGAAATAGAAAACATTAAATTATGGCCTGGCTTGAGTGGCTCAGTTGGTTAAGCATCCTCCTATGCATCGAAAGGTTGCTGGTTCCATTCCAGGTCAGGGTACATACCTGGGTTGCAGATTGGATCCCCAGTTAGGGCACATATGGAAGGCAACGGATCAATGTTTCTCTCTCGCGCTCTCTCCACCCACCTTCTTCTAAGCATGTCCTCGGGTGAGGAATAAAAGTAAAGTTAAATTATGTATATTAAAGAAGAATCACAAATCATTAGGAAAGGGAGGGTTATTAAGTTATTTTTGAGACAGGTGCCAAAACCTTGGGGAAAAATGCAAATTAATTTAACCACGAGATAGCCCTAAAAGCCTAAGCATTAAACAGTAGTTCCTTCAGATAAAGTTACTAAAATTAAAAACACAGAACATACACATTATGTGTATATTAATATGCTTTTAAAGCAGAAATGATTGGATAGACATAATTGAATTGGAAATCCTGAAAGTATCAAACCATATTATAAACTAGCGAATAAAGCAGCAATAGACCCAGTAGACTAAGGAAGCAGGGTGGACAATACACAGAATTGGGTCCTTTTATCCCATGAAAACTTAATATATGATAATGAATGATAAAAGTGGCATTTAAATTAGTGGGGCAGAATGAGCTATTCTCTTATCTGTTCTGAAAATGTTTATCAAAGGCCAAGTACTAGCCTAGATGCCAGGGATATGTCAGCAAACCAAATAGATTTAAATTGCGGTCATCACAGAGTTTAAATTCTAGTTGGAGTAGAGACAGGATAAATAAAAGATGATTACATGATGAATAAAGTGAAACAGGGAATGAGGATAGTGTTCACAGGATTCCATTTGGGAGAACATGTTCCTACTTCATACTGTATACAGAACAGCCACAAGCCAATTTGTTAAAAAGCAAATAACCTAATAGAAAATTTGGTGAAAGTGTTTTCTTTTTTTTTTGATAGATACTCCTAATTCATAAAGGAGGATATAGGGTTGTCCACTAAATATCTAACACCCATTTAGTAGTCAGGAAAATGCAAAACCAAACAGTGAGGTACCACTTTCAACCCTGAAATTGACAGGAAGTTTAGTAATATCAGTTTTTTATAAGTTTGGGGAAGTGGATGCTTTTATATGTTGTAGATATAATTGTATGTTAATAAGTAACCTATTTTGGAGGACAGTTTAAGAATTGGCTTTCAGCCCTGGCTATTTTGGCTCAGCGGTTACAGCATTGGTCTGTGGTCCCAAGAGACCCAGGTTCAGTTCCCGCTAAGGGCACGTACCTAAGTTGCAGTTTATCCCCGGCCCTGGTTGGGTCGTGTGGGTGGCAACCACTCCATGTGTCTCTTTGACGTTGATGTTTCTCTCTCTCTTCCTCTCTCTCCCTCCCACTCTATCTGAACAAAAAATGGAAAAATGTCCTCAGGTGAGGATTAAAAAAAAGAATTGCTTTCAAAGTGAAAAGGGTACACATACTATGACCCAGGAATCCCAGTTGATATTTACCTCAAGGAACTTGAATGTATACACAATAAGATATGGTAGGAAAATATGATTTTTAATAATTAAAATGTGCTATAGTTAGTTCAGTTAGTGTGGCTTAATGGTTGAGCATCAACTCATGCACCAAGAGGTCACCAGTTTGATTCCTGATCAGGGCACATGCCTAGGTGGTGGGCCAAATCCTCAGTGCGGGGCACACAGGAGGTGGCCAGTCAATGTTCTCTCTCATCAGTGTTTCTTTCTCTCCCTTCCTCTCTCTCTAAATCAATAAAGAAAAAAACATTTAAAAAAATTAAATGTGCTTAAGTTAGAATGGTGTGTCCATATGGTAGAGCACGGTGGCACGAACACAGACATCCAAAACATATTGTTGAATGTAAGAGGTAAATTACAGATAATATATGTACACACCAATGATAACAAATACCACCAAACTGTTCACATGTGGCTCTTATCATTGGAAAAGCTATTAGTCAGAGAAGTCTTTAGCTCTAATGTTTTCATTAATGTTTTTAGAGAGATCATTTTTATATACACATATGTGTATATAAAAATGATTAAAACAATTATTTTTATTAGCCTCATCTCAAGTCATATTTTCCATTATTCCAGCCCATATTGTATATTTTATCAACATCACTTATCTGATGGTTGGGCATATGGTTTTCTACATGTGGGTTATTTTTCTGAGTGCCCCAACTAACCAATGAAATCACTGTTCTCTTTGACAGCTTAGGACCTAGTCCTTTTTTTTTTTTTTTTTAAGAGAATGCCTTACTTGGTAAAAATGTGTTATCATCATCATGAATTTCTTGCATTCATAGAATATTTTGTGTTCTTTATATTTGTAAATAAGATTCATAGTAAATCAAAGTTTTATTTCTAAGTTTACTTAAATTTTAAATGATTTAAAAATTCAGTCAAAAAAGATGTTAGAAAATTATATTGTTTAAATTATTTTTCTGTTTTTTGTAGGTCGTTTATATGCAATGCAGACTGGAATGAAGATTGATAGTAAAACTCCTGAATGCCGTAAATTTTTATCAAAGCTAATGGATCAGTTAGAAGCTGTGAGTTAAAACAGTGATAATTTATTTTCTGATTAATGTTTAAAATGCTATTTTCATTTGTGTATGCATATGTTGTCATTTTAGTTCTTTCCCTTATCAGCAATGTCATTATAGCTGATGAAAAAATAGACATAGTTTTTTTGTTTGTTTTGATTTTGTTTGTATCGTACTGCTAAGGGAGTTGTAAGCAAAATTCAAAATAGGTACCATTATCTTTGCATATGCCATTATTTCTTGTTCCATGTTATTACAGATGGCCTTTGAGTCATCCTTTCATAAGTAATGAATCCTTTCTAACCTTTCCTCATGCAATCGCACGGATGATTGAAATGGCTATTTAATGAAAGGAACAATGAAGGAAATGTTAATTGTCTCTCCTCTCTTTCTCCCACTCTTGGTCCCAGGGTAAGATGCTCTTATGATGTGTGCATTCTCCCCCACTAGAAGAAATGTGGTAGGTGACTAATGAGTCACCTTGAATTTTGCAGGTTATGAAGAGAGACCATTGTATAGTTTCACAGGCTATTTATAAATGTTGCAAGTTATTCTGATCAAAGCCTAGTTGTAATAAGCAGCCATGGGCATTAGTGTTCTCTATAACTTGGTATATGTTTCTGGCCTTCTGACCCAGAGCCCCTGTCATCTGCTGCTGTTAACCGCTCAAGATAGTTTTGATGTCACCACTGATGGGAATTCAGCTGTCCCTGGAGCCTGTCTGGCCTTACACTTCTAACACTGCTTCTATGGGTGCAGGAAAAATTTGAATACTCTTTTTATTGGAGAGTGGGGTTAGATGGCAGGAAGAAGAATGTGTCTTACACAAAGAGATATTTGTAAAATCCATCTCTAACAGACATTTTATATAGACTATATCTTTATTAATTTCACAGCATAACAATGATAAGAAATAGCTTTTGGATGAGACAAATTTCAATTTTTTATACTAAGCAAAGTATAAAATCACATTTATAAAGTGACTCATCAGTAATTTATTATCATCTAAATTAAATAACAAGTAGAATAAGTTTATTCTGTGGTGAGAGCACATCTGCCTAATATAATGTTTATATTACATTGGAAAACGTTCAGTATATTATATTTTGCTTCCAGATATTTTATGTTGGAGATGACATACTCTTACTAAATTTTTTCTAGAATTAAAATAGAATTACATGATTTCAGTTTGAATAGAGTAAACTAGTGTTATATGTAGGCCCTTTTCTCTTTTTGTTTAGGATCATCGTAACTAAAAATGCCCCTAAATTCCAACATAAATCCCTACTGGGCATTAGATTATTCTGTTACCATTATAAGAATATTTACTTTGTTGAAGTTATGAAAAATCCTGAGGTCTTTTTTAAATATAATTTTTTATTTCATAATGTCTTTGAGAAAAGCAATTTTAAAACAGTAGTATGGTGTAACATATAGTATTCCAGAAGGTCATTTATTTCAATGTGACAGTCTGAGTAAAATATAGGAATATAGTTTGTTTTCAAAATACTTTAAATTATTGTATGTGTAGGAAAGGGATATGCTGATTGGAAATTTACACAGTTGTTAATCATCTGAGGTATATATTTTTTCTAAATTTAAAAAACTTTCATTATCCAATTCTAAGTTTGTCGTCTATACCTTACTTCGAATGAGACCTCTTTTTTAATACATGTGTTCTGAGAGATACTATTTTAGGGTATAGTGATCCTTTTACTCTAATTTTTTATTTGATAAGAGGAAATTGAAATGGGAATAAATTAAAGTTTTAAGTTATATATGGTTAGGAAATAATTTTTTTTTCTTTATTGATTTTTAGAGAGAGAGGAAGGGAGAAGAAGAGAGAGATAGAAACATCGATGAGAAAGAACATCGATTGACTGCCTCCTGCATGCCCCTCACTGGGGTTTTAGCCCACAACCTGGGCATGTGTCCTGACCAGGAATCAAACCGGCGACCTCTTGGTGCATGGGTTGATGCTCAGTGAGCTACACCGGTCGGGCAGGAAATAATATTTTTACTCCATTTTTAGGATACTTAACAGTGCATTGGATGACATATGATTTTGAAATATTTATGATGCTTTAAAGTAGACACGTGGATATATTATCTCTTTATTCTTGGTTATTTTTATTTTTAGAGCTAAATAATACTTTCACGTTATCATATGTATGTTTCTTCTTTGTGAACATTGGATTTTAAATCCTTGGGTTGAGGTGGAGCGGTTTTTTTCTTTGCATGATTTCATTGATACATCTTTTACTGAAATGAATATAAATAATTTACTTAGAATGATTATTTGGATAACTTGTACTTAAGTATATATTTCTGTAAGTCTAAAATCGTAAGGTTTGTATTTGACTTTCTTATAGCTTAAGAAACAGTTGGGTGATAATGAAGCTGTTACTCAAGAAATAGTTGGTTGTGCCCATTTGGAGAATTATGCCTTGAAAATGTTCTTGTATGCAGATAACGAAGATCGTGCTGGCAGATTTCACAAGTGAGTAAAGAAAGAGCAAAGTAAAAATGATAAGCTTAGTTACTCTAAACCAGAATCATCCAGCTTTGTATTGAACACTTTCTGACTTCCTGATTAATGATTTAAATTTTTAAAAATTATTCGTAGAATCTCAGAATGATTTTGAGTATTAAGTGCAACCCTGTCTCTTTAGAGAAAATGACTGAAAGAAGAATTACCCAGGGCAGATTTATTTTCTCAGTAAATATTTATTTCCTGAGACTTCTTTTTTCTAAGTAGCTATTCTTTAACATTTCTCAAAATCTAAGAGTTGATTTTAGCCAAAAACAGCCTAGTTCAATGATGTTGATTTTAAAAACTCTCACTCCAGTTTGTCCCCAGCCCTGGTTGGGGTCGTGTGGGTGGCAACCACTCACTGTGTCTCTCTTATATCGATGTTTCTCTCTCTCTCTCTTTCTCCTTCCCTCTCTCCCTCCCGCTCTATCTGAAGATGAATGCAAATGAAAATAAAAAATAAAAACTCTCACTTCACCAATTCATATGATTTGTCCTTATTAAATGTAAAGAAATGCACATGGCTTGATATGCATTTAGATAATACTATAATTACATGATCTAAGATCAAATGTGTGGTAGCATATAACCATACTGTACCATATTTACCTATAGTATGAGTGTTGTTACTTTATCCTAGTAACAGATCACAAGAGGAGTTCCATTGCATTCTTAAAAGCTGATTTTATTCAAAATGTTAAGTGCAAAATGCTTTTATAAATATTGGAATTTTTTTATAGCTACATAACTAATTCTACAGCTTAATGTTTTTCTTTTTAAACTAGACAGCTCTCTTTTCTCTTCCAGAAACATGATCAAGTCTTTCTATACTGCAAGTCTTTTAATAGATGTCATAACAGTGTTTGGAGAACTAACTGATGAAGTAAGTATATAACCGTTATTGTCTTAATAGCTAAAGATCAGTATTGTTGCTATTTATCAATTTTATTATAACTGTTTATTTAGAGCAGTGTATCCATCAGAAATGTAAGCAAAAAATTTAATTTTAGATGTACTACACATATTTAAAAGTATAAACAAGATAAAATTATTTTTAATAATGTATTTTTTTGTAGTAAGTTCTTTGATTTTGGTATGTATTTTACACTGTAGTAAATGCATGACTATTGTATATGTATTGGGTAGCACAGGTTTTGAATTTGATTTTATTAAGGGTTTTAAATACTACTAATCCTGTATGCTGGTAAGCTTTTTTACTGTTATTTAGTAAACCTGGAAGCAGAGACTTTTTGAGGCCTTTTTTCTATTTAACTTCTACTCAAATATTGTTTATGATTTGCTTGTATTGTAAAATACATATAAAACATGATATTTTACAAGGTACTTCATACTTATTTGTTTCTCATAATCACTCTAAGATAAGTAAAATGCATATTAATTTTATATATGAGCAAACTGAGGCTAAGTGAGAAACATTGTATTAGTTCAGTGTTGTTTTCACTGTTGCAAAAAAAATTTGTTTTCTGATAGGGGAGATATTAATCTAGAAAGAGATGGAAAGAAAAAAAGGAGAGCTATAATGAGGCTGATAAAGGCATGTTATATTAGTGATGTGAAATCTATGAAGAACATTGCTTTCTGTGATATGATTTTTTCAAAATGATGAGCAATTCATAGTAAAGTTCCAAATAAAACAAAGTATAATCTATGAGGTACTTGCATTTTTGTAAAACAGTATATCAAAACTATGCAAAACAATTCTTGCCCTGGCTGGTTTGGCTCAGCGGTTAGAGCGTCAGCCTGCCGTCCAGAGAGACCCGGGTTCGGTTCCCGCTAAGGGCACGTTCCTCAGTTGCAGTTTGTCCCCGGCCCTGGTTGGGTCATGCGGGTGGCAGCACTCTATGTATCCCTTTCACGTCGATGTTTCTCTCTTTCCCTCCCACTCTGTCTGAACAAAAAAAGAAAAAATGTCCTTAGGTGAGGATAAAAAATAAAAATAAATAAAAACTATGCAAAAAATTCTTTATGTTTGTATGTTAAATGAAGTCAAATTCTAGGCTTGATGATTATGAGCTGAGTTTTTGCATTGGCAGAGTTATACAGGACATTTCAAAATTTAGCTGAATGAGGGACAATTTTTGTGTGTGATTGTTCCTTTTATTTAAAAACAACAAGCATCCTTGTCCCTTGCCTACACAGCATTTCCAGTCATTCAGAATACCAGAAACCACCCCCAGATATCTCCAAACACCTTCTAGTGTAAGGGACAAGGCCCACTGAGAGCCACTGCTGTCCAGTTTTCTTGAGACAGAGTAGTATAAGAGGAAACGGAGACCCAGAGTGTGGAAACCTGACATGCTTCTCAGTGGGTGGCACGTTTTGTGTTCTGAAGGCCCAGTGGACCCACTCTGATTTCTATTCTGTTGTACGAGTATGGGGCACTATACTAGGTACTTGCGGGTGCTGAAGTGATTTAAACATGACATTATGGAAAGCTTTCGATAGTTTAGTACGGTTTTGGAGAGTACCAGGCAGGCAAAGGAGAATAATGGACCTCAGATTAGAAACGTAAGTCATAAAGCAGGTCAGGACAAATTCTAGTAGGGAGAAGGGAGAAGAAAGACAACATAGCAGTACGGGGGGTAGTTAGTGGCGGAGGGAGCAAGCTGAACACCCGAGGCCTTCTGTATGGCATTAGTACATAAAGACTTTTAGTCTTCTAACTAAATTCTTTTCACTTTTCTTTTTTAAGAAATAGAGATTTTTGAAAAGCCCATTGATTCACCTGCTAGATTACTGCAATTTACATAATTACTTTTATACTATTTTCTTTTGTTTTTTTTCATACAACCTATTCTTCACTGTCATTGTTTTACTGAAGAATCTGTGGGGAGTGTTCATTTTCAGGCATTGCAGGTTCATCTTACTTGTGGTCCTTCTTGCCAATCCCATTTCACGTTTGTCAGGCCAGTCTACTTACCACCCTCCCAACTTCCACCACTGGGAACTTTGTATTTTCAGCCTGCTTGTCCTGTCTTACATTCTCTTTAAGTCTTAGCTACATTGTTGTAGCCCTTAAATGAAGTTCTCCATTCTCTCAAGTATTCTACCTTTAGAGTCTCAACTGTGTGGATATTACACTATAAATGTATTGACTTGAGTTTTATATATTTTGGGATAAGTTATACTATAAGCACTTGAAGGGGGAACTTTGTCTTATTCTACTCTTACTTCTTCTTTGGCATTGAGTGTGTTTTACACACTGAGTAAATACAGTGACTAATTAGTTAATATTTCAAAAGTTGTTATAGTTTAGCTTTTTATTTTTTTACCTGTAGTTGGAAATAATGTCCAGACCTGTTTACATAGAACTTCTTTCATAACTCTTCTGAAATGTAATATATCTCAATTACTCACAGCATTTTGGTCTATTTCCTGATATTTTTTCCCTTTTAATTTCATGCCGTTACTCATAGTTGCATAAAACTAAATAAAGCCTGTATTTTCTTTAGTCTTCAACTGTTTATATATGTGTATTTTTATCTGCCACTATTCTGCTTCTCAACTCTCCTAGGTAGGTGTGTTGAACTTTTTTAACTGGGTCTTACATAATTCCATGTCAGTATTTCATTACATTTGTTGTGATGTAAACTTGTAGCATTCTTGTAACTTTCTCAGATTCAGTGTCCCCGTTTTAGGTATAAAGCCACCAGAATATGTATATAGACTTTAATTTTGTATTATAAAGCGAGATATGTTCAAAACATTTTACTTTCCTACTGTATCCTCTTGATTATTCTATCCATGGTCAATGTTGTTGATCGGCTTTCTTTCTTTCTTTTTCTTTTTTTGGTTAATCCTCACCTGAGGATATTTTCTTTTGTAGTTTAGATTTATTCCACTTCCAGAAGTATCTACGGAACAGGTATCATTTTAACCATTTTCCTTTATAATTTCTGCTAATTTGAAGGAATCAAATGAATATAGTATTTTTTCCTGCCCTCACAGTCCTTGTGTTCAAACTTGGAAAGCGAACCAAAATAATTGACTATAATGATATGTATGTAGTAATGAGAAAATACAGGGAAGGGTTCCAGTTCTGCCACTTGCCATGCGCTGTACTTCGATGCCTTAGATATATTTTGCTTGATCTTTTGCAACTCTGAATTATAGTGAGAGCTGAGGGTCAGAAAAATTAAGTACCTTGTCTCCAGATGCTGTAACCCAGAAGATGTTCTCAGACTGTGTGATAAAAGTCCAGCTTTTATTCTCCTTAATTTGCATTCTGTTGCAGACTGATTGTTTTGTAAAATACAAATAATAATCGAATTATTAGAAAAATGAAACTTAAAAAAGACATGCAAAATACAAGCCTAATTTTCTGTAAGTTTGCTAAGTACTCTCAATTTGTGTACTATTTTGTTAGAAACGGGTAAGCAATCTGCAGATGAGCACTGCTTCTGGGACCACATTTTGTTTAGCACTGATTGAGATCCCTCTGTGGGAGACCCCAGTGAATCCTGTTTGTATCCCAATCTGGGACTCTTGCTTCTGGAAAAACAATGTTTCAGCAGGACTGGAAACATGTGTCTCCATCTGGAAGGAGGTAGTCTGTTTAAGGTATCCATTTGCATTGGAAGTTTCTGAATTAAGCAGCATCTTATTGCTGGCTTAGAAAACCATGGTAGAGTGGGAGAGATTTATCTAATTACAAAAGCATGTGTTCTGTACATGCACCTGCACTTAATATTCAGTTAATTGTTAACGGAGTATTTTGCCGTTGTTGTTCATCCTTACCTGAGGATAATTTCCCATTGATTTTTATATAGAGTGGAAGGGAGGGAAGGGGGGGGGGGACATCAATGTGAGAGAGATACATGCGCCCCGACTGGGGCCGGGGATTGAACCTGCAACCCAGGCACATGTTCTTGACCAAGAATCGAACCCACGACTCGGGCTAACATTCTAACCACTGAGCCAAACCTGCTAGGGCTGAATGGAGCATTTTTGCATGCAGTGTTAGTACAGTGTGGTTAAGAATACTACAGACATTGGCTTCAAATTCCACATACCACCTAACTGAGTGCCTTTGGGTAAGTTATTTGACTATGTAAGCCTATTCCCACATCCGTTAGGTGAAGAAAATTCTGATACCTACTTAATCAAGTTGTCCTGGGGATAAAATGAGAAAATGCATGTAAAGCCTTAAGCAAAGTACCTAGCAATAGTAAATGCTTAAAAAAACATTCATTCTTGCTTTTGTTAGTTGATAGATCATGGTCTAATATACTATATTTAGAGAAGACATCAGCAAATACATGAAAATTTTAATGGAAACTGTTCAAAACTGCTCAACCCTAGATATTTACTTAAGATGAATTTATTTAGAAGTAGATAGGCATTATTTATTGCTACTGATTATATTTGGAGGTCCAACATGTGTAGTTGGAGTGCCATGAAAGAGAGTAGAAATAGAATGTAGAAGAAAAGATTTTGAAGAAATAATGACCATATATTTTCTAAATTCAGTGAAAAAACCGTTAGTGATCCAAGAAGCTCAGTGAACCTCAAGTGAAATAAATACAAATAAAGCCATATCTGAGCATCATAGTCAAGCCAGTGAGTTCAGCGATAGAAGAGCAAATCTTGAAAGAGCAGTCTTGGGAAAAACACACTATGCAAAAGGTAACAATGCTTTGAAAGTGGGTTGACTTCTCATTTTTTAAAAAGTGTTGACAAGAAGATGAGATTGACACATTTAAAGTACTAAGAAAAAGAAAAAAAGAAAAAGGCAAGCAAATGAACCCCATCAACTCAGAATTATTTAAAGAGGAAAGGTATCCTTCAGAAACATCAAGGTAAATTTAAAGACATTTTCAGGCAGATTAATTCATTGCTGGCATATCTTCATTAAAGAGCTAAAGCAGCACAAAGGAAGTTTTTCAGTCTGAAGGAAAATAATACTAGGTGGCAACTTGGATTTATAGGGAGGAATGAAGTACATTGGACATAGTATGTATGTAAATATATTTAAAAACTATATCTTTTTTATTTTTAAAAGATATATACTTGTTTCAGTAAAAATTATTATAACTACATATGTATTTGGAAAACCCTAAAGAAAGCAGGGAAAGAACGAGAGAGAAACAAAAACAGATGGGACTAATGTAAAACAAAGAGCAAATTTTAGGCCTAAATACAGCTGTATCAGTAAGTACTATAACTGAAAATAGACTAACACTACAGTTTAAAAGTAGAGATTTTCAGACTAGATAAAAAAACAAGCTCTAACTTGATGTTGTTTACAAGAGATATTCTTTAAATACTAAGAAACATGTTTTGTAAATGAAAGAGTGGAAAATATATTCAGTGCAAATACTGAGTAAACAAAATCCCAAGTGGCTATATTAATATTGGACAAAGTGAACTTGAAGAAGACATGTTACTAGAGGTAAAATGGGACGTTTTGTAATGACAAAAAGTTCAGTTCATCAAGAAAATATTACAGTTAAAAATGTGTGCACCAGCCCTGGCTGGTTTGGCTCAGCGGTTAGAGCATCGGCCTGCGGTCCGGAGAGACCCGGGTTCGGTTCCAGCTAAGTGCACGTACCTCGGTTGCAGTTTGTCCCCGGCCCTGGTTGGTTGCACGGGTGGCAACCACTCGATGTGTCCCTTTCACATCGATGTTTCTCTCTCTTTCTGTTCCTCTCTCTCCCTCCCACTCTATCTGAACAAAAAAAATGGAAAAATGTCCTCGGGTGAGGATGATTAAATAAATAAATAAATAAATAAATAAATGTGTGCACCGAATAAGAGTTTAAAACTATATGAAACAAAAATTGATAGAAATAAAAAATATGCATACATTCATAATCATACTTGGAGATTTAACACTCCCCTCCCCATCATCAGTAGAATAAGTAGTTTAAAAACAGTAAAATTAACTAAAATGAATAGACTGGCCACATCAAATATTGGCTAGAACATGGAAAAACAAGAGCTTTCATACATTGCTTGGCGAAAATGTTAGACGTTATAACCACTTTGGGAAAAGGTTTGGCAGATTTTTATGAAGTTAAACACACCTACCTTTTTACCCAGTAATTCCTCCTTGGTGTTTATCTAAGAGAAATGAAAACATATGTCTAGAAAAAGACTTGTTCAAGAATGCTCATAGGAACTTTATTCATAATAGCCCAAAGCTGGAAACAACCCAGATGTCCACTAACAGAGGAATTGATAAATAAATTGTACTATTAACTAAAATATAAAAAGGGACTACTGAAATACTCTATATAGCATGAATGAATCTTGTAGATGTTATGCTGAGCAAAAGAAGACTTGAAAGAAGGCAAATTGTATGGTTGTCTTTATATAAAGACAAATTTATTCTAGTGAAACAATTAGGTTTTTTATTGGGGGTAGGCAAGGGAAGATTGATCTGGAAAGAGATATGAAGGAACTTTCTGGGGAACTAGAAATGTTATATTTTGATAGGAGTATGTTTTACCCAGGCATATGTATCTGTCAAAGCTCCTCAAATTATACATTTAACATTTATGCATCTCATGATATGCAAGTTTACCACAAGAAAAATAGTTAAATATAGAACTGTTGCTTGTAGATTTGGTTGTGTTTTTTTTTTATGGCGTTATGTTGTCAGTTCTAAAATTGCTTTCTGTATACTAGGATTGAGGAAATCAGTAAATATATTGAGGGAGCCAGATTTCTCACTTCTTGGAAAAGAAAAAATATGAGATGGGAAAATACTACATTGTGTTATTTTGGATTGGAATTGGAGATGTCCATATTTATTTATGCTTTTAAATATATAAATAGAGAAAAATCAATATGTGTATATAGGTAGTGTATATGTACCCTACAAATGTGTGTATATACAATATATGCATGCATTTGTGTATGTACAGCATATATCATAGCTGTGTGTATACATGCACATAAAACATAGTTCCTATATCTCTGTACTGAAAGGACCTGGAAACAGTGATGCATCAATAGCAGTAAGGACCCCTAGTGTCTGCTTTTGGGTTCTAAACACCATCGTCTATAAAAGGAGCCAGGATTCTTGTAGAAAGGGCAGAGTCTAGGGCTGAGTCAGAGAAAATACTAAAAGAAATTAGACTTTCTTATACCGGAAAGTAAAGAAGTCTTCACATAATTACAAGAACATGTCAGAAAGATCCAGAAGCCAATTTGTAAGGGTTCCATTGTCCAAGAAAGAATGATTTGAGCATCAAAATAAAAATGATGTTAATAGATGGTAACTATTGAATAAAATAAGAATCTATAGGTCTGAAACATACAGTAACATAAATGACTGAATGAATGAATGATGGAGTAACAGAGAAGGTTCTCTACAGAACTCTAATTAATAAATATAGAAATAAAGATGAAGTTAGAGCCTGGCTGGTGTGGCTCAGTGGATTGAACGTTGTCTCATGGATAAAGAGGTCCTAGATCAGTTCTTGGTCTGGACACATGTCCAGGTTTTGGGCTTGAACTCCAGTAGGGGGCGTGCAGGAGGCAGCTGTTCAAGGTCTCTCTCTTGCATTGATGTTTATATCCTTTCTTTCTAAAAAATTAATAAAAACATATTTAAATACAATAAATAATGTCGAAGTTAGAAATCATTAATGGAGTTTTAAACTAGAGGGTGGAAAGTTTCATGAAGAGCAAGATATTTACATTAGTCTCTAAATATCTTCCCTGAAGTTGCTTATTGATTTTAAAATTTATCTTTATTGTTGAAAGTATTACAGATGTCCCTCCTTTTCCCCCCCACATTGACACTCTCCACTCCCCACCCCCTGGCCTTCATCACACTGTTGTCTGTGTCCATTGGTTATGTATATATGCATATACATTCTTGGGTTTATCTCCTCCCGCTCCCTACCCTTCTTCCCTCCGAGTTTGTTAGTCTGTTCCCAACTTTCATGTCTCTGGATCTCTTTTATTCATCAGTTTAATTTGTTCATTATATTCCACAAATAAGTGAAATCATGTGATTCTTGTCTTTCTCTGACTGGCTTATTTCATTTAGCATAATACTCTCCAGGTCCCTCCATGTCGTCTCAAAGGGTAAGAGATCTTTCTTACGGCTGTCTAGTATTCTGTTGTGTACTTTTTATCCACTCATCTACTGATGGCCACTTGGGCTGTTTCCAGATCTTAGCTATGGTAAATAACGCTGCTTTGAACATTGGAGTGCATATATTCTTCATGATTGATTGGTGTTTCAGGCTTCTTAGGATATATTCCTAGTAGTGGGATCACTGGGTCAATGGCAGTTCTATTTTAATTTTTTTGAGGAAACACCATATTGTTTTCCATAGTGGCTGCACCAGTCTGCATTCCCACCAGCAGTGTACCAGAGTACTCTTTTTTCTATATCCTTGCCAGCACATGTTTGATGATTTGTTCATGGTAACCATTCTGGCTTACTAATGTTAAAGGGGAAAATAGTGGAGAATGGAGAAACCTGTCTGATACCACTTTAACCAAGTCTTCAAACCTAGCACAACTAATATTGGGACCAAGTATCTCCTAATAACATGAAGTGAGAAAGACAGTTTCACTTCAGTGATAATCCTGCTAAAAATGCATGATGAGATACCAGACAAATCCACATTGATGGACATTTTACAAATAGGCTGGTATTTTTTTTAAATGTCAAGGTCAGGAAACACAAACATATTGGCTGTTCTGGATTAAAGACTAAAAAGACATGTCAGTTAAATAATGCATGCTTCTTAAATTAGACCCAGGGGAGGAATAATTGCCAAGGACATTATTTGGACAATTGACAGAATTTATGGGGATGGTGGAACGGACAGTATTCTAGCGTATATGTTACTTTTCCTGATTTCAATAACCATTGTGTATGAGATGTCTTTGATCTTAGAAAATACGTAATGAAAGCGTTAGGGTCATAGTGACTTACAACTTACTCTCAAATGGTACAGGAAAATATGTATATATATAACTAAACAGATTGCATATTAATACATGCATTAGTAATATGTTTATATGTACAGGGTGGGGCAAAAGTGGATTTACAGTTGTTTGTATGGGAAATAATAAAACAACTAATATAAGCATAAACTGTTTAACTTATAACTGTAAACCTACTTTTGCCTCATCTTGTATATATAAATTGGTAGATTGATTAAACAGAGAAAATTATAAACAATTGGGTAACCTAAGTGAAAAGTATATGGGAGGATCTTTTACTATTTTTAAACTTTTCTCTAAAATGTTATTTCACAAAACTATATATTTTTCCTTTTGTTTCAAAAGATCACTTGGTTTCTTTTCTTACCCCAGTAGATTTTGTATTAAACAGTTAATGTTTATACCATCTTTGGAAATACGATGGCTAATTGGAATGTACATATCAAATATTATAAAAATAGTTGAATTTAAGTATTTATGTTTTGTAGTTATATGTATTTATATTTATGTATTTTTGTATTTAGGATTTTTTGGTACAGTTTTACTCTCATTTTTATTTATTTATTTTTATGCTCACCCCAGTACATTTTTGCATTTATCTTCAAATAGAGTGGGAGGGAGGGAGTGAGAGGGAGGGAGAGAGAGAGAGAGAAACATCGAAGTGAGAGAGACACATCAAGTAGTTGCCACCCACACGACCCCAGCCAGGGTTAGGGACAAACTGCAACCAAGGTATATGCCCTTAGCAGGAACCGAACCCGGGACTTTCTGGTCCATGGGCCGACACTCTAACCTCTGAGCCAAACTGGCCAGGGCTTAGTCTCATTTTTAAAACTTGTTTTATAAAATTTTAGTTGCTTTGAGGGACTAAGTATAAATGTGTTATTTGTGATATTACCACCAAATTAGAGATTATTAATTTCTTTTGTATCACTAACTACTTTGAAATGTCATGAAAGTTATGGATTCTCTCCCATGTGTTTGTATATTGCATTTTTTGCTTATGATTCAGGGAGTTTCACAGACCCCCTCAACCCTATCCACTGACCCATCCCTGCAAGCCTAGGTCAAACTGTGTACCTAAGATTACTAGTTACATTTATATATTAGCATAAAAATGTCTTACTCTAGGTCAGTGCTTTTAATAGTATGGTTTCAGGACAGCCCAATTCACAGTCATTGTGGGCACTGGATTTTAAAAAAAGAAAAAAGCATGGATTCCAGAATCCATTTATTATTCTCCAAATATTTGTTAAGCTTTACTATATACCAAACATAGTTCTAGGCACTAGGAATACAGCAGTGGGCAAGTCCCAGCCCTCATGGAAATCACATGAAGCTGTTGAGCCCTAGACAGTTGGTAGAATCCAGTGGTAGGATGGGGAGGATGCCAGACCCTTTCAGAGCTGTACAATGCAAAACTGCATTTTATCTAAAAAATATGATACAGGTTGTCCTAAATTATATATTTTTACTTGACTCATTTTACTACAATCTAACACTGATATAAAAATATTTCTTTTAGAATGTGAAACACAGAAAGTATGCAAGGTGGAAGGCAACATATATCCATAATTGTTTAAAGAATGGAGAGACTCCTCAAGCAGGGCCTGTTGGAATTGAAGAAGATAATGGTATGTGTTTATATACCTAAGTAAAATGATAGAGTAGAATCGTAATTGTTCAGTATATTATTTAAAGTTTTCTGAAGGAACCATACAATTTTGTTTTCCTTGTCAGTTCCAAAATTCATGAATATTGGGTATTAAATCATAAATTTAGAGACAGTGAGAGACCAAACTCCTCTAATGTCTAACTTTTTCAACAAAATGACTTGGCTATCTCCTACCTCTAATGAGATTTCATTCCTAATGGAACAGACAATCTAGTTGTAATTTATAAAATATTTCCAAACCAAAGCACCCCCTATTATTTATTCTGTATCTATTTGAGTTTTTTAGGGAGTGGGGAGGTTGATAATACATTCACATGGTTCAAAATTTAGAGTATATAAAAAATATGAAGTGAATTTCTCATTCCCACCATATTCCTCATCTCTCCAGATCCTACCAAACCCCCAAGTAAATACTATTTTTAGTTTTTTTTTTGTTTTGTTTTGTTTTTTTATCCTCACCCAAGGACATTTTTCCATTTTTGTTCAGATAGAGCGGGAGGGAGAGAGAGGGAGAGAGAGAGAGAGAGAGAGAGAGAGAGAGAGAGAGAGAGAGAGAGAGAAACATCGACGTGAAAGGGACACATCGAGTGTCTGCCACCCGCATGACCAACCAGGGCCGGGGACAAACTGCAACCGAGGTACGTGCCCTTAGCAGGAACCGAACCCGGGTTTCTCTGTACCGCAGGCCAACACTCCAACCGCTGAGCCAAACCAGCCAGGGCCTATTTTTAGTTTTTTGTGTATCTTTACAGAGATTATTTTTTTATGAATTTACAAGTAAATAGGAAAATATATATTCTTTTTTTTTCTTCCACACAATTGGTAATATACACACTGTTCTGCATACAGTTTTTTTGTTATATTATATTTTTACTTAACATATACAGGAATATTTCACCATCACATAGTAAATGATTTTATAAAATTAAACATTAAAAAAATAAGAATCTCATTATTTCATTGGTCTTTCAGTTAATAAGTAATGGAAAAGAAAAAGAAAAACATGTTTTACTTGTTTTTATTGATTATTGGTTAGACATAGGAGATTGACCATTACAGCAATAACAACCACTGTTCTCTGCATTAAGAAAATTTGAAAAATTTTTTGCATTTGTTATATAACTTTTAGGCATCTGTGAAGATGATTATCAAATGCATGGATTGGTGGACTTTTTCTAAAAGGGTCAGACAGTAAATATTTTAGACTTGTAGGTGATACAGTCTTTGTTACAACTACTTGACCCTGCTCTTGTGCAGAAGTAGCTACAGAGAATATATAATCAAATGAACATGTGTATGGTTCAATAAAACTTTATTTACAGGCAGCCAAGCCACTGGCCATAGTTGGCCAACTCCAGTCTAATCCATCTCCTTAGAGCTGTTATTATGGTGCATGCTATTAAAAGATTGCCTTATATTGAGCCAACTTTGCCTGTATAATAAATCCAGCTTTGCCATAATGTTATTTTTTTATACTGATAATTTGCTGCTGTGTATCATTTAGGATTTTTGCATTGATATAAGTAAAATTGGTCTGCAGTTTTTACTTTTTGGTATCAGTGTTACACTTCATAAATATAATCTGAAGGTTTCTAGAGTTTTTCTGTGCTTTGGAACATTTTAAATACTTTTGGAATGATCTTTTATTTAAATGTTTCCTAAAATTTGTGTGTGTGTGTGTGTGTCTAACCAACTGGCCTTTATACTGGGGATGGGCTTGTTGGCACTATTTTTCTATGGAAATTCACCCTGTTCAATTTTTTTAAAGTTTTCTCAGTGCCCAAGGAATGTGTGTGCACTGATGAAATGAATGATATTTTAGTTCTTTTAGGCCATTTTATTCATTTCTGCATATATGTGCTCTCCTCACAATTTTTCAGATTACAGTTGGGTTGCAGTTCTGCATGGAGATATATGTTCATTGTTATATAAGTTTCCACTTTCAAATTACAACAGCTATGTTGAGTATTTGCATATATTATTTAAGAATGAGTGGGTCATCCGGCCGGTGTGATTCAGTGGTTGGGCATCAACCCATGCACCAAGAGGTAGCTGGTTTGATTCCTGGTCAAGACATGTGCCCAGGTTGTGGGCCCAATCCCCAGTGGGGAGCATGCAGGATAGAGTGGGAGGGAGGGGAAGAGAGTGAGAGGGGAGGGGAAGAGAGAGAGAGAAAGAAAGAAAGAAACATCAATGTGAGAGAGACACATCGACTGGTTGCCTCCCGCATGACCACTACCAGGACTATTCTTGACTAGAATTAAACCTGTGACTCTTTGGTCCACGGGCCATGCTCTAACCGCTGAGCCAAACTGGCCAGGGCTGTGTTGCTTTTAAATAGTAGGGATTTGTTCTTTCCCAGAATGTATAAATGTTGGAGTTCTTTAATATAGGAGAAAATTATTGTAGTGTATAAAAGCTATAAATGCATCTACAGGGTCACTTAATAAGGTGCGTATCTTAGAGTAGTAGGTAGATTTATCTCAGAGTAGTAGAAAGTTTTTGTTATATTGAACATGTAGTATATTTATTATCAGACAAGAAATTACTTAAATATTTGATAGGAAACATTTATTTCAGAATTCTTGCATTTATTTTATTTTAAATCACTAAGATTTCCAAAAGCGACTAATTGTCATTTTAAATAGACTATCAAAATTTAGTTTTCTCAAAGTAGTTTTCAAATTCAGCTAAAGACATGTAGCATATTTTAAAAGTCTACATTTTAAAACTTACAATACAAAGTCTGTTCTTATTTGTATTTTTACAGCTGAATATGAAATTTTATTTCTTTGCTTTTGTTGATAAACTTAATAATTTGGACAACGAACACATAGCTAGTCATTTAATAGTTAACACTAGCTGTTGAGTGAAAAAGGCAGCTGTCATAAAATAGAGTTTTTATTGGGTAGCATAAATGTGACATTTTTTTTGTCAAAAATGTCAGTTTTTTATAAGTTTTTAAAGAGTAAGTTGCAAGGAAGTATATTTTTAGGAAAAATCTACAGCAAAGATTTTGTAGAATTGGATTTAGAATTTAAAGAAGTAATAATCATATTGTTTGCCATAACTAAGAGTTTAGAAAACATTTAAAACTATTATTTTAAAAGATATAGCCTGTTTATCCACAGCATTAAATAGAATTGCATTTGAAGGTCCGCATGCCTATATAACAAAATAAGGATGAATATTCAGCATTTTTATTTCAAAATACGTAGTTTAACATTGCATATATATTCTATAATAGATGTTGAAGAAAATGAAGACGTTGGAGCAACCTCTCTGCCCACTCAGCCACCTCAGCCATCATCTTCAACTTACGACCCCAGCAACATGCCGTCGAGCAGCTATACTGGAATACAGATTCCTCCCGGTGCACACGCGCCGGCGAATACACCAGCAGAAGTGCCTCACAGCACAGGTAGGGAATCAAAGCTGAACAAGTTTGGAATCTTCTTTCATAAATGAGAGCTGCACTTCTTATCCTGTCTGTGCCTCATAATGATGGTCATCAGCATGGCAAGATCTTTTCGTTCATTTGGACCTACAAAAACAATTAAATTTTTTTTATTGAAGTTTTAATATCAGTTGTATTTTAGTTTTATGAGAAAAGACAGAACATTCACGTATATTGATTACTATCAACCTTATATTCTATTAATAGAATAGCTTCTTCTATTCATATGTGTTGCTGATTTCTTTTCTTCCCCTCCTGTTCTTTTTCCTTCACTGTTGTTCAAGAGTAGCACCAAGGTTAGGGAGATTTATTATAATATGTGTCCATTGGCATCCCACTGTGATAGAAAGATTTGGTTTTTCCTGCCTCATTTCCTTAGGACGTGGCTCTGCCTTCATCATGGGGCTGTTCATGGGGAGGCTCAGAATCTCAGAAGCAGTGGAATCTTAGACTAGTGAAAGGAGATGGTTTGGGGTTACCTTTTTTTTTTACAATTACAGATGTGTGACCAAAAACAGGGAAGTGACATCTACTATCTTGGAATAACGCAGTACTGTATGTCTTTGTTTTCTTAGAAAAAAAGATCTTACAAAACTCATCTCCAGTAAGTTAATATTAGTAGGTAAAGAGATTGTTATCAGTTGCACAGAGATGCTCTTCTCTGTGCTTGTAGCATCAGCCCTGCTTCCAAACTGAAAATATTTAAACTCATAATTTAAATCTTTTAACTTATTTTACTTTTATTTCAGCATAAGGGTAATCTGTAATAGTAAACTATACAAACAACCATTAATTGATAAAATGAGTCATCCTTTGAGTCCTGATTTTTACCATTTCCATTAACTTAATTGACTTTCAGTTGTCAACCTTAGTTTACCCAGACCAATTATATTATATTACATGAATTGAATAACATTTAAAACTTTTCTATTTTGCCCTGGCCAGTGTGGTTCTGTGGTTAGAACGTTGGCCCAGGCACCAAAGGGGAGCAATTCTGGTCTAGACCATGTACCTAGGTTGCAGGTTAGATCCCCAGCCTTGGTCTGAACACATGTGGGAGGTAGCCAATGATGTGTTCTTTTCACATTGATGTCTCTCCCTCCCTCCCTCTCCCTCCCTCCTCCCCCTTCCCCTCCCCTCTCCTTCTCTCCCTTCCCCCTTCTACTCTCTAAAAATCAATGGAAAAAATATCCTCTGGTGAGGATTAACAAAAAAAATTTTTTTTTTAATTTTCTATTTTGACCATTTTATTTTATTTATTTTTAATTTATTTTTTATTGCACCCATTTATTAACAACATCTCTTAAGACAGCAGGGTTCACAGACGAAGTCTAGGAAATGCTACCCTGGGAAAACAGGTACAAATAGCGTAACAGGTACTCAGTATTTGGTGCCTAACTAACAGCCACCCTCCTCTTCCTCTTGGAGAAACAGTCTGGCTTCACTTGTGGTCCTCTCCTCCCCAGCTTCGGCAGTGAGCTCTGACTGGTCCGCACTGGTCTTGGCCACCCCCTGCCCTCGCGGTGGCCGCTGCAGACAGATGCCAGTGATGCACATCTTCATCTTCTTCAACCCAAGGAAATTGTATTAATATTTCTAATTATGGCTTCCACGTTTAGCCAACGGTCAGAAACGTCACTATTCAACATCTTGAAATGATTCCCTTGTCTCTGCCTTTTCCCGAGTCAGAGGGTTTGATCCTACTTCTCTCACTCACTCCAGAGCCTCGGTCCGGGCCCGGGTGCCTGGTCCCCCACGGAGCCGAGTCCGGTGGCCTGTCAGAGGCAGGAGGGGCCGCAAGGGCTCCTGCCCAGAGGCAGGAGATAAAGACAGGCCTTGGGGGGCGGAGGCCCCCACAGCTGAGGCACCCAGCGCGGCCGGAGCGGGTACCATTTTAGCAGCAATTTTGATTAGTCTCTGTCTGTTTTAAAACTTTCAACTTTATATTATCTACAAATATTGCTTATAATTTTTAACAGTATTAATGAAAGTAATAATTTCAGCATTGATTTCTTTTGTGTCATCATTGTGTATATTTTACCTTGCCTTTTCATTGCTTTAAGTCTGTGCAATGACATTAATAGGCAAAACAATTTGAATTAGCTTGTAAAATTTTATAGAACACTTTTAAATATTTAATCTTTTAGAAATATTGAAAATTTCTGTAGAATAATATCAGCAAAATAGCTACTATAGGTCTATTAAATGAATACTGTTTAAATTATACTACTAAATAAAAATATTGGTCAAGAGCTGCAGACACAGGCATCTCTATAGAAGAGTGAAGTGAGGATAAAGTGCATTTCGGAGTCAAATGGTGTTGGCTATTAGTTTCTACCCCTCGCTAAACCACAAATTCAACTGTCATTCAGCTTCTTTTTGACCTAGGTTTTTCCTCTTCCTAAAATGATCATACTTCTCATGGTAGTTTTAATTATTAAAGGGGGAAAAGAATAAAAATTGACTAGTACTATGCCTAACACAAAATCAGTGTTCAGCAAATTAGCTTCCTTGACGTTTTTCTCTTCCTTCCTATTTCTATGCCAAAGAAAGAGAGGGTATTTAATAGCAAGTTAATGAACACTTAAAATTATTTTGTGAATCAAAGGAAGTGTCACATTCGGGGAAAGGATATGACCTTAAAAAGATTGCCTAAGGGGTATTGCTTTAGACGACATAACTTAGGGCAGAGTAGTGTTATAGCCATATATACATATTTTATTTGTAGATATCCAATATGTACATATGCGAGGGAACATGTACTTTCAGTAGAAGGGCTATATCAGGTTGAACCATATGAAATTGCCGTTTTTGTATAATAAAAGTGATAGAATATTGGTAGTTTCATATGTTCAAACTAACAGACAACATCTCCTGCTTAGAATATGCATCACGTAAAGATATATATACTAGAAGGTAGTCTTCCATTAGGAAATTTTCTGGCATGAACAGTTCCTTTTGATTCAGTTAAGTTCTGACCTTATTTTTTTTCTCTTTCTTGTTCCTCAGAGTTGGGGCATAAAACTAAAAGCCTATAACCTTTATTAGGATAAGGTCCTATTTTGTAACTTTATACACTCTTACAGACATACCATTTTAATAATTATAACTTTTATAAATTTTTACAGAAAGTGTATTAGATATTGTTGTCCTTAATTTAATGACAGTAAAGAAATTAAGTAGTTATCCCAAGAAAATTAAAATGCAAATATACTGAGTAACAGAAGTAAAGTTTGAAACCAAGTCGTTCTGATTTCATGTTTTTGGAACCTTCCTTTTTTGTTCCTTCTTCCAAGGAGCTAATACTCTATCAAATCAAAACCTACTTTTCTGACATATATTTCCCCTGGGATTGATTTGAGATGTTGGAATCTTCTCTTAGCTGGCAGAATTTTTTTCTATTTATTTAAAACAGTTTTTTTGTTTCAATCAGTTTATAGTTGCCTAATAGAAAATGAAATAAGATTTTTAGTTTATAAATATAGCAGATGTTTCCTCTCTCAGTCACTTTAAGAATGATTTACTTTCTCTCATATAAAGGTTCAGGATGCACTTTTATCAAAGGGAAATCCTTAAGATAGCTGAATAGAATAGTATGTACTAACAGACAGTTTTTAGTTCTTCCCAAGAAAGGAGCGGGGTGAATGAGAGCCGTGAAGCTGGTTTAAAGAGGCCGTGAGTTTGCACTTGTGCTTTAACCGCGACTGTAACCGCTGTAACAGCAGGTGTGGGCAGTGTGGTGGACTGTGTCCTTCTGACACGTTCGCTTTGCACAGTTGGTAGGCATAGAGGAACATCTCAATGAGAAATCTAAATAGATGAAATAACAATTTCATAATTAATGCCAGCCTTTTCATTATAAATGCAGCTCACCTCATATATAGATCAAAAACCTAGCTCTTTTATTGTTGTTCTTCTAAATGTCAGTAGTACTATTCAGCTTTCAAAGTTGTCTATTTTCTGGCCTAATCATTAGTGTCAATGCTGTTCTCCATGTTTATGCTGAAGTTTTACTCACCCCAATCCTCCTATTTTCTTACCTTTTCTTACTGTGTTCCTCATAGATAGCATGTCTTTCCGCTTTTTTTCTCTGCCTCTCCAAATGCTACTGCCTTTCAGGGTTTTGTTTAATTACACTTTTTGGTTAGTCTTCTCCAATTTTCTAACCAACATCCACTTTTTTCACACTGTTTTGTCAATAGAACAATGTAGTATTAATCAGAAATCTTGTAATGTTTAATTCCTACATGTATATTAATACCATCCAATATGTAACCATGTACTTAAAAATTAATCCGGCCGGTGTGGCTCAGTGGTTGAATGTCGACCCATGCACCAAGAGGTCACCAGTTCAATTCCCAGTGCGGGGCATACAGGAGGCAGCCAATCAGTGTTCTCTCTCATCAATGTTTCTATCTCTCTCTCCCTTCCTCTCTAAAAAAATCAATAAATGAAAAATAATTTAAAAAAACACAAACATGTTAATGGGACAATTTGGAATGTATAATTTTTAATTTTATGCAGATTGGTGAAATGAGACTTATCCTATAAGTTAAATTAACTTGTAATTATATCTCATCTTGTCCCCAAATTATTTAATCGGGTAAGAAATTAAAAGGTAGAAAGGGAATCTATTACTTCTGCAGATATTTGGTAAACTTTAATTGAGAAGCAAGTTGAAGCATTAGACATGACAAATACATAATAGGTAATGTGTAATTAATACATGTGTGTAAACACTCAAAATGTATTTTCCTGCATATTTTCTATACCAGCCTCCAAATATTAAATAACTGTTAGTTTAGAATTCATTAAGGTTTAAAGGAAGTAAGTGAAGTGATGCAATTCTCCATGGTCCTTCAAGTGTTTTCCTTCTATATAATTAAGAAATGTAAAACATTAATACCCATTTGTGTCTTTCTTTTTTGCAGGTGTAACAAGTAATACTATCCAGCCTACTCCACAAACTATTCCGGCCATTGATCCTGCACTTTTCAGTACAGTTTCCCAGGGTAAGTGTTTTATAAGATATAATGTATTTTTTGTTTTGGGGTGTTGTTTTGTAATTTTACCTTAGGGTGTCTAGGTAATTTGAAATGCATTTATTTGAATGCCTGTGTTCACTAGATTCTCTGTTGAGTCAAGATTGTTTCATATTATAAAAATTACCTAAATTTAAAACCATTTCCTTTTATTTTACAGTTTCTTTTTTTTGTATACTGCTTGTGTGTGTGTGTGTGTATGTATATATATATGTGTGTGTGTATAGATAGATAGATAGATAGATAGATAGATAGATAGATAGATAGAGTGACACAAACATATAGCCAAAGATCATGGAAGCTTAAATTAGTTTAGTTCAAGATTGCCGTGTGTTGCCCCGGCCTGGTGGCTCAGTTGGTTGGAGTGTCGTCCCGTACACCAAAAAATTGCAGGTTTGATTCCCGGTCTGGGCAGGTACAGGAGGCAACTGATTGATGTTTCTCTCATATCAGTGTTTCTTTTTCTCTCTCTAAAAATCAAGAAAAACCTATTCCCAGGTGAGGACTTAAAAAATATTTTTTAAAAAGATTGCCAAGTATTATGACTATGATATTTCTCATCTGCACTGTGTGATTAGATTATCTAAGAAGAGAGAGCTAAATATAATTGAAAATAAAAATTTCTAAGGATAATTATCTTTTTTTAAATTTTTTTTTATTTAATCCTCACCCAAGGATACTTTTTCTGTTTTATCATCAGAGTGGTAGGGAGGGAGAGAGAAAGAGAGACTGACAGAAACATCAATGTGATAGAGCCACATTGACTGGTTGCCTCCCTCATGACCCGACCAGGGCCAGGGACAAACCGCACTGAGGTTCATGTCCTTGACTAGAATCAAATCCAAGACCAGTGGTTCTCGGGCAGATGCTCTGACCTCAGCCAGGGTGAGGATAATTATTTTGATTGGTTGGTTCATAGGCTAAGTGATTGGTTTGTTGATGTTAATCTTTTCCACTTTTCAGACTTCTCTGTTCTTTTCCCCCTAGTCCATTGTTTTGTTTATTTTGGTCTTTCTCATTCTGTTTTCTTCATATGTCTGATGGGATTTAGTCCTTTTTACTTAGAAAGAAAACCTTTCTCTGTCATTTTCAGTTGTGTTACTGAGTTTTGTAAAACTATGTCTGCAGGTCTGTTTCCCACGTGATTTTTCAGTTCGGTGTGAATGGGAACTGGGCATTAAGTTACCTGCGTCTCAGTCATAGAATGAGGAGGGCTTTTTTTGGAGGGGGTTGGGGGAGGGGATGTCACATCTACCTTGCTAGTATCGTTATGAACATAACATGAATTGCTTAAATTGTGTTCCTCTAATTCTGTATTTAGTTGGCTTACTAGTATGACAGCAAAAAGGTTTATTTGTATTTAGTTCAGAATTTAATGAAAGTTAGGGGAGATGAGAGGTTGGAGAACAATATACTCTCTGCCGAATGTAACTATGTTTCCAGGCACCAAAGACCATGTTGGTGACTGTATATTTAAATAGATGCAAAAAATATTTTTAAAGATTTATAAGCTACAACATTAATGAAAACAGGAAATGATTTGCATGCTGTTGGTGGGACTATAAATTGGTAAAACTTTTCTCAGTAGCATTATGTCAGTATCAGAATGGCAAATACAATTTTTTGACCCAGCTATTACACTTTTAACAATCTGTCTTTAAAAATACTTAGATGTAGGCATAAAATGTATTACAGAAATATTTATGGACAGCATCATTTATAGTAATAGAAAATAATCTTAAGTGCTTATTCATGGAAAATTGGTTGATTAATTATGACCTATCTATACAAAGGAATGTTGTGCACATATTAAAAAATAATGTGATCACGGTCATGTGAAAAGATCTAGACACAGTAAGCAAAAAAGCAGGTTGCAGAGCACTATATATATATAGTATGGGCCTGTTTAGGGGGAAAATTATTTAAAACAAAACTAGATCCTTCTATGTGTACATGTGTATATAAATGTATAGGAAAAGTCTAGACTCTAGAGAATCCACAAAAATAAATGGTGGTTTCATAACCACCATCTCTGTCATCACTATCACCTCTAGTACTTCTAATACCCCCTTCCTGTTAGGTTTTTCTCCTAGTGTTTAATATTGCCTTTTAATCCACACATAATATGTGTGGATTAGTATTAATACATTTTAAATGTTTTTGCAATGAATTTTTGGCTGTCTCTGGAGAGGAGAATGGAAGTGGAAAGATAGGTATTGGAGGCACAGCATTTACTTTTTTACTTTGTGTACCTCTATGTAGTATTAGCGTATGAATAACAACTTAAAAAAATTGAGGGGAAGTAAGTGGAATATCTAAAAAGCATTTAGCATAGTACCTGATGTCATAAAATTCTACTCTAATCATTGCTACTGTTGTTGCCATTGTAAGTGGCACATTTGGCAGTGCCTGGATATAAGGTAAGGTTACAGTGTTATGCTTTACATTTACCTCCAAGATTTACTGCAGGTCACTTGGTTCCCTGTGATTATGCGTATACATCCATTAAGTCAGAGAATAATAGAGTACATTAGGATCACTCTATCCAAGGTCCTTGGCATGAATTTCTAGAACTACCTAGTTAAATAGGAAAGAATCACTTACAGACTCATTTTGGAAATATTTACAATTAAGTGTTATTCCTTGGAAACTTGATAAGTCAACCTTGGAAATGGATGCTTGTGCCAACTGAGCTTGCAGGGATTTCTCTCTACACCAATAGCGTTCCCTTTGATTTAGTGCTGGCCAAGGCTCTGTCCACTCTAGTAGAGAGCTTGGTGGATAGCTCTAGCTTTCTGCTCTTTTCACTGAAGCCGTCTGGAACTTCAAAGCACAGGTTTCAGAAAAGAGATGTTATGTTAAACAATCCCACTAATCCTTCAAATACCTCTTAGGGCCACTTATTCTCTCTCTAGTTCTGGTTCTAATTATGGGTTCTGGTAAATTTTAATGATAGGAAAAAAACAAAACAACTTTTATTTTGGTGCATTAAGCAGTATTTACTATCTTGAATAAAAGAATCAAATTAAATGAAATTGAATTGTTTTTCCTTACCTTGTCTTTTCTATTTCCTCTATTTAATTTTTAAATACTAATTTAAAAGAGGCATAATTAGGAGAGAGGTTTTATTTTTATTTAAAGTTTGAATTTAAATGTTTTTTTAATGACTTATACATTATTCTTTAAATGAAGGAAAGCCTGAACTGTTACAGAGTACCTGAAGTCACATTTGATATGGCTTAGTAAGCTCTTTATATTTTCTGATTGTTGAAAATAAATTACATGTCTGTCTATGTTTATACCTTACATTTTATATCTAAATCAGAACTTGGTTATTATCTAGTTATTTTTTTGAGTTACAAATTTGTCATATATGTCTATTATATTTATTCCATATCTGCAATTATATTTTTGTTAAAAACTTTTACATTTTATAAATATTGAAATTTATTTTATAAGAACATTTAATATTTGTGTTTTAAAATAGTTCTATCATTGGTGGATACATTTAGTTTATAAAATTAAAATAGTAACTGAATTCTTGCTACTATACACATTTTATTTGATTTATAAATGAGTGATATGTCAGCAAAACAGTGCTAAAACAAAGCCGTATAAAAATAAGATTAGTCCTGAGCATTAGGCTTTCTTCCAGCAAGTCCAATAAATTCTGGATGGATGCCTTCTATATTTAAAGGTTGCCCTGATACTCTGGTTTCTCTTCAGATCGCATAAATCTTTCACCTTTTAAAGGTTGCCCTGAGATTAGGAACATAGTATATTAAAACACAAAATGAGCAATGTTAAGGTTAATTTTTAAAGGTGTCTCATTTACCTAGATAGTATGTATATCTCAGCTATGAGAGCCTCTTAATATACATTTTAAAATATTAATATACATTAAGATATCTGGTAGAGAGAGCCCTGGCCAGTTTTGCTCAACAGTTAGAGTGTCGGCCTGTGGTCCAGAGAGACCCGTGTTCACTTCCCGCTAAGGGCACGTATATTGGTTGCAGTTTGTCCCCGGCCCTGGTTGGGTCGTGCAGGTGGCAACCACTCGATGTGTCCCTTTCACGTCGATGTTTCTCTTCCTCTCTCTCCCTCCCACTCTATCTGAACAAAATATCGAAAAATGTCCTCAGGTGAGGATTAAAAAAAAAAAAAAAGATATCTTGTAGATACTTTGAAGCAAAAAAATATGAACTGGGGCACGCCTGACTAAATTGTCTATAGAACTGCTGCAGGATAATTGATTTTTAGGTTCAGTGGGTAACAAAATATATTGTCTGTTTGTTATAGTCTGTGCCCCTAGCCTTCTGATCAGTTCTAGAATCCTCATAAAAATTTAAGGAAAATGGTATTTATTTCAAAAACACAAAATATGAAGTCAGTATTTAATTTTATCTTTAGAAATATATTTTCAAATATATTCAAATTCTAGATTAAATGATATGTCCTTACTATGGTTTATTTACCCAAATTATTAGGTTGGGTTCTACACATATCAATCACATGTGTAAGTGGAAAACTTGCTGAGAAAATACATTTTGGAGAAATAATTTGTAAGGATGATTTACATGCTTAATTGTGTAGTTTAATGATAGAAAATCTCTGTTAAATCTTAGAGTTTTTTATATGGATGACACACAAAATATAAAAAAAACTTCTGGCTCAAAGAAAAGTTAAACAACTTATGTAAAATTCTCACATAAAGTTTTTTTGTTCTTTTTTAATTGAGGGTATATTTCCAGTTCAAGCGAGGGTTGAATGGTTTAGTCTGCGTATTGTTCCATGAAGAGACAGGCAGAGCAAATCTACCATGAACACCAAAGCTACTGTCCTTGTTTTACAGAGTATGATTTTTATGTAATTAATTTGCCAAAATATAAAGGCTTCTACATTGTTACTTCTGAAAGAAAAATCTTGCTCATGTAAGTTATTATGTATTGGTAGATGTATGGTTTATATTAGTAGTAAAAAATTGACAACATGAGAACATTTATTTAAATACCACTGGATTGAAAATCCTTAATATTTTCTATGATCTTGAACAGAACACCTTTTATATTCTTATAAATATCTTAATTATTCTTTTCTCCTAGGGAATATCTGTCTAACACCCGAGGACTTTGCTCGAGCTCAGAAATACTGCAAATACGCCGGCAGTGCTTTGCAATATGAAGATGTCAGCACTGCTGTGCAGAACCTACAGAAGGCCCTCAAGTTACTAACTACAGGCAGAGAATAAAACCTTTGTACAGCAGATCCATGCATCTTTGGCTTAAAGAACTAACAGTTCATTACTCTGTATCTTCCGACTATCAGGAGCACAGTTTTAAGGAAGACTTCAGTTCCATTGACGATAACAATGAAATCTGTGTCTGAGTGTCAGATTCCTGTTGAAGCATTCATCAGCAGCCTCAGCCAGTTTTCATTGCCCATTTAGTGAATCCATTAATCTCTGGGTATTTAGGGCTGATATTAGCGAGGTCCTAAAAATGCCCATTGAACCCTGCCTCAGAAAATGAAAATACAGTTCCATAAAATGTATTGGGAATAAGCTTTGTATCTTAATTTACATAATTTAAGAAATGTTTTAATTTATGATGTGGACAAACAGATCACAGTACTTTGCTATAAAATTCTAAATTTAATTATGATGGCCAGAATATTCCAGATTAGAGATCATGGTTTTTGTTTTTCTCAGAACTTATAAGACAAATATGAACATCCTAAATTGTTAGATGAATCTGAAAGAGATTGTGTTCAAAATTCAATGTTATATTCATGTTATAACTACATTAAAAGTTAAAATTTTCATAGAAAAGAAGGTGAAGAGGTAGAATCACTTTTAGACTTAAGAAGAATGTTGGTTTCCCAACTGCTTTCCCGTATCCATTGAAGCTTAAGGTGAATTGGTATTTGCTTCGTAGGCAGCTTGACTGCATGTGTTAGAGAATGAAAAACAGCTTTAGTAATGCCTGGAAACTTGGTGCTTTAAGTTGAGATTCTCCTCTGCTGCTATGGAATGGATTCTCTAGAGTGTATAGCTATGAATGATGCAGAAGCTTATAAGATACTAGATTCTCACTTGTTACATTTATAAGTTTTGGGGGAATTTTGGGCTTAATGTGTCACCTGCATTTGTGCTGTATAAAAATAAATGCAAGGATTCTTTTCACTGGTTCAACTTACAACAGAGGCAAATGTCTATTTTGATTTGCATGCTAAAATTGTCCTTTTTGGGGGGGAGGGTACATGCCCCTAGCAACAACCGAACCTGGGACTCTCTGGTCTGCAGGTCGATGCTCCAACCGCTGAGTCAAACCTGCCAGAGCTAAAATAGTCATTGTTAAAGTCATTATTTTTAGTTATAGGAATAAGATATTTCTGTAGTAAGACACAATTTTCTTTAAGAGAGAGAGAGAGAGAGATTTGGCAAATTTCCCTATAATTTATCTGGTCCATTTTATTTATTCCACTAAGATTGAAGTGTTTTAACATATGGGTCAGCAAACTATAGTCTGTGGCTTGACTACCTGTTGTTGTTCAAATAAAGTTTTATTGAATCAAAATCATACCCATTTGTTGGTTTTATCTGCAGTTGCTTTTCATAACTACAGAATTGTATTTCCTACAGGTCTAAAATAGTTACTATTTGGCACCTTAAGGAAAAGTTTGCTGACCCTGATCTCATTTATAGTCTATCTGAAAGAAAATGAATTATTAACTCAATCATTTGTGTCTTTCATTTTTTATTTGCACAACTGTAATGCTGTTGCATAGGTTTGATAGAATGGTAATTCAGACAGAATAAACTGTTCTAAATTATTGGTGGGGGGGGAAGCCCCAAATAATATGCCTCCTGAAAAATGTATCTCTCACAACTAAATTCCTGCAGCATTTGTAAGATTCAATATTTACATCTAGAAATCCAGTACTCTGACATACTTCTTTAGAACTTGACTGCAGTAGAAAAGTGGCTAGAATGGTTATTAGTGCTTTTAAGAGCTAAACGTTTTAATTAAAATCTTTACGTGTCTGGACACTAGAAAGAAAACTGCCACTTCTTATTTCCTACCCTGTTTCGTTGCTTTCAGTTGGAAGAGCACATGGAGGGAAGAAGATAATGTGGGAACCCCGGAGCCTACTGATAAGTGGGCGATGGTGTGACAGCCCTTATCTGTTGAGTGGAAGCAACACCACTAGCCACTTTGGAGTTGTTATGAGAGCTAACTGAGAGCGTGTACACCAAGTAGTCAGCACAGAGTAGCATTCCATAAATGTTTTTTGTTGTTCATATTAATGTTACATTAAATAATGTAGATTGTTAATAATCATTTATTTCCTGAATATCAGGAAATCCGAGGTGTCTTTGTGGCCTGTTGCTTAAAATGCTTACTTGTTGAGGGATTAAACTAGAAAGATTTTTTAACTTTGTATTTTTTCCTGGTAAACCTGACAAGATGAAGTTAGAAATTTACCAATGTAACACTAGGATAGCAATTTTCATTTAGTCATTCAACATGTATTTATTGAGCAGCTACTTTGTGCCTGATAATTGTCTTTTGCATGAAGAAAGTACAGAATACAAGGGAAAAAACAAAAACCTGCCTCATAGATTTTATGTTTGGATGAGAGGAAATAAATTTAATAAAATGTTTATTATGCATTCAAACCAGTGGTTTTCAAGGGTAATTGTTAGAAATGCAAATCTCTCCCAGCTGGTGTTGCTCAGTGGGTGAGCGTCGATTCATGTATGAAGAGGTCACCAGTTCAATTGCTTGTCAGGACACATGCCCAGGTTGTGGGGCATGCAGGAAGTGGCCAGTCGATGTTTTCTTTCATTGATGTTTCTCTCTCTCCCTTCCTCTCTCAAATCAATTAAAAAAATTAAAAGAAATGGAAATCTCAGGTCCTACCCCCCACAAACACCTCCCATGTGCGCACATACTCCCACCCAATCAGACATTCGCAGGGTGGGGCCTACCTTTCTAAGTTTTAAGAAACACTTTAGGTAGTCTTGTGGTCCCTAAAGATGAGTGGTTTAGCACTCCCCAAATCAGAAGCATTGAGCGTCTGGGAGAACACAGATTTCCTTGATGCAATGGTTCTCAGAGTGTGGTCCTTGGACCCCCAGCATCAGCATCACCTAGGAACTTGTAGAAAGTTCTGGGGACCACACTTTTGGAACTTCTGTAGAGTATAGGAAAGGAACAGCTTAGGTGTGTGTGGACATGTGCATATTCCATAGGAAAGGATAGGCCCCACTGAAGGATGGATGTGCAAAGAAGGAAAGAGGGAGGGAGATATTCCTGGTAGGGGGCCTATGACCAGATAAGCTATTTGTAAGAAGCTTGACTTTTACTCTAAGCAAGATGGGGAACTACTAAGTTTTTAACAGAAGAGTCCTGATGTGACTTAACTATTTTAAAAGGATCATTTTAGCTACTGTGGGGGGACCAGTAAGTATATTGTAATAATTACGGTGAGATTCTGATGGCTTAGGTCAGCGGTGGCAATGGAGGTAATAAGATGTCATTGGTTTCTGGCTATTTTTTCAAAGTAGAGCCACAGTATTTTTGACAAACTGGATCTGAGCTATGAGCATAGGAGGAGAGAAGGTTGACTCCCAAGTTTTAACCCGAACACCAGGAAGGAGTGAGTAGTCATTAGCTTCTACTCACTTGGGACAAGTTGCTAAATTCTGTGCTGACATTTAGGCTGAAGTACAATGTTCCCAAGATCTTGTGACCATCCCAAGTAAAGCTATTTGATAACATTGTTTTGTCAATACACCCAGAGGGGAAAGAAAAAATAAGATAAGTTCTATCTACAACGATTGTCACGGGCATTTCACCGAATCACTGCTGAACCAGAGCGAGAATCCAAGGACAGTTCCCATGGTTAGCATGGCCAAGGAAGTTTGGGCTTCAAGATTACACCAAGAAAAAGACCCCAGTTACAGGTCTTGAAAATTAACATCCTCAGCTGTTCATAAAATTGATCTGTATGTGACTTGTACTTCTAGAAATTTGAGGCGAGTTGTATGTGTTAAGGTTATATATATATGCTGTTCTTTCTAAAGAAATTTAAACTCTAACAACAGCATTGTCACAAATATCTTGAGCTCTAAATGAACAATAACTGACTAGGGACGAGGGTTTTGCTTATCTGCACAGCTTCCTCTCTTACCCCCGCCCCCTTTATTTTACTTTACTCATATGTACCAAAGCAACTGGATCAGATCGTGTAACTTGGACCATAAATATGCCACCAGTAGGAAAGTTCTGTTCTTAAAAGAGATCACAAAATAAAGACACCCTTCACGAAGGTATGCTTTTCTGCTTGGTTGTAATCTTTAATGTCTACATGGAATTTTGAAACTGAAAGCTCATTCATTGTAGTATACTTAAGTAGGGCTAATTCCAAGTAAGCAATGCTATAATAAGAGTCAATATAACTGCTATCATTTGAATGCTTACTAAATACCAGGCACTAGGCTAAGTATTTTACATTACGTATTCATTTAATCCTGCCAGTATTCCTGAGAGGTAGGTTCTGTGTTTCTGTTTTACAAATGAGGAACAACCACAGAGTAGCACATTTCCCGAGGCTGCACAAATTGTACTCAAAGTTTCTAAGCCCAGACAGCCTATTTCAGACAATAAGTTTCATCCGTGTAGGTACATAGTCAGTTAAATTGTTATATGAGTACTGTGAGATGTTTTAAGTGAACTTCACATTATCAAGGTCACTAGTCACAATCAAGGTCACAATTTTTATTATTAACAGGAGGTGTAACAGCTGGATTTTTCTATTATCTGAGCACTGTGTTCCAATAATTGGGTGCTAGGCAGTGAATACACAGGGCATGAATACACACGCTGGAGCTGATGGCCTGACGGTGAATGGTCGGCAAGTCCAGGGAGCAAATCGGATTTGAACGGCTGGCACCATGGGTAGATGTCATCTCGCAGTGTGGACCTCATCACCAGGGAGTCCTGAGTTTCCCAGACAAGCCTGATGTTTTCCTTTTTATTTTAAGTACCATTAACTGTTTTTATTTTAAACATACAATATTTATGTTAAACATTTTTATTTAAAAAATACATTATTCAGCCTTCGCCTTTCAGGAAAACAGATTAGGATGTGCACTTCAATATAAACATAATAATGTTTATTATTAATTTCCTCAAAATGTGACTAGTATACTAGACCCTTAAAAATGACACTTATGAACCTGAATAAAACCAGTTAATCTTTTTTTTCTTTCTTTTTGCAGTGGCTCTCTTTTCCTTCTCTTTTTTTTTTTTTTTTTTTTTTTTTTTTTTGAGTGACTTCTATATAGGCAAAATAAAAGTAATCTACAGACTCTTCTTCTCACAAATAGAGATTTTATTTCTACATGTGTGAAGATTTCGAACAACACACCTGTCTTTTGTACTGCTAAAGGAAAACATGTCTTCAGTTGTTTACAAATGAATAGATATATTTATTGAGAATATATACTCATTGATTCTCTCTTCAGTACATTTGAGATGCTATGTATAAACATTCCCTGAAAGTCTAAATATTTTCTAAATTAATTAGCCTGAGACGTTTTGCTATAGTGGCTTGGAATAACCTTTTTCCAAGCTGCTTAATTAATTCAGTGCTTATTGGTACCATTTTTTTTAAATCCCAGTATTGCAGTAGAATAATATAGAGAACCCTGTTAAATATGTGTTTGTGTGTGTGTGTGTGTGTGTGTGTATTATATATATACAGTGGTGGGCAAAAGTAGGTTTACAATTGCTTGTATTGAAAAAGACATGCAGGATATGATTATTACATAGCTTTATTAACTCAAAAGAATGTCACAATGCAACTGTAAACCTACTTTTTCCCAAAACTGTATTGTGATTCATTGAAATAATAACCTTTCATTACTGTCGACACAATGATCTGTGCATTGGAGAAAATGAGAAAATGTAGACAGATAAAAAGAAAGTAAAAAACTATATTTCAACAATAGCAATATCAGCAGTAACACCATAATACATACACACTCTGTTCATTTAAGTGCCTTTTAACCTGAATGAGATCATACTTTATATACTGTCTTGTCACTTGTTTTTTGTTGTCGTTTTGAGGCAGTGAATCTCATTTTCTTTTCAGTAAATCTTCATCTCATCTAATACTCAGAACATATTCAGACTTTCTGAATTGACACCCAAATGACCATTATAACTGGATCATTCGCCCATTTAATCTGGTTATGTCTGTTAAGTCTATTTTATAATCAAGCCTAGTCTTTTTTTTTTTTTTTTAACTGACACCCACTAGTTTAAGAGACTAGACCCATTTGGGTGCATATCTAGATATGCAACCTAGATGTCTCTGGTTGTTTCTTTGGATTTGGGTCCTATTTTTTTTATCCCCGGCATTTCTTGTCAGGAAGTTACACTGAAAGGCTTGCTTGGTATTTAACCCCTTGGAATTACCATACAGCACAGTCCATGTTGATCGTGTCCGTGTAATGTAAGGTGTGTCACACCAGTAGGTTTAAAATCCGGTTGACCCACCATTAATGATGCTAAACAGGGTAACATCCTACTTCTGTTCGGTTATGTTTTTCTCCTGTTGCTAGAACTTGACTTCAGCATTATTAAAAATCTAGTTTTCTGTTAACCATTAAGCTAATGTTTGCTTTTTTTAAAATGCCAATTGATATGTACTGTCTGGGATAATACTTAATTGGGTTTGTCAAATTATATGTTCAATTCTGTCTTCTATATTTATTAGCTAGCATTATTCTGTAAAGGAAAATTCTTTGTTTTTGTTTTTTAATTAACTAGGAATATTTGGTTACTCTGAAATACAGTTCCTATTGGCAAGGCAGAATAAACACTTAATTCTTTCTCTTTCCTTACCAACTTTCAAAGAAGAAGTTATAATACTACCTCAAATAGTGGCCATTTTTTTTCTCCTCTTTTTTGAATACCATTAAGTAGTGGTATATTTTCATCAATTCAATCCATCACAGTTATTCTTCTTTTATCCCCAAATTTTCACCCTTTGGTTGGTGGAACTGATAGAAACTTTCCAATCTGACTGCTTCATCTTCCCCCATTTATTTATTCGTTAAAAACTTTTTCAACTGTATTGAAGTATAATTGACACACCACAAATTTTATGTATTTAGAGTATTACAATTTAATGGTTTCTTGACATATATAGGGGTGGGCAAAAGTAGGTTATCAGCCATCATTACTTAAAAGATAAATTATAAGTAAGAATACACAATAATAAATAGAATAAGAAAAATAATACAATAATTAGTAAATGATAATATAGAATGGACTATTTCACATACTTATGACTGTCAACCTAGTTTGCCCACCTCATATATGTATCATAGTAATCCCCTTGAAAATAATTTTTAAATTATGTGTAGCAAAAAGCAAAGAAAATCCAAAAGTAGCTTTCTATTCTGGGAACCTGAGGGCAGGAAGGTTCACTGGAAGTCTGCTGCTCAGATTAGCATCTCCTAGAGATGCAGCTATGCACAGATCAACATAATCGGAGGCATCGTTTTAAGTACCAGAAAGAAAACATTCACGAATTGCTCCTGATACTTAGTAATTTGTTTTCTCCAAATGGGGAAGCTGGAGCAGGCATTTCACCGGGATGGCGGCATTTGAGTTGCCCTTTATTCCACCAGAATGAAGTGGGTAATTAAGATGAAAAGGGAGCATAAAAGAAACATATATAATGCGTGTCACTACAAATGAGTCTTGACAAGAAGGAATAAATCTCTTGAGGAGTGTGTTTGATTTGGTGACCATTTTCCTTCTCGGGCAAATCTCGGTGTTTGACGTTTAAATTTTTAAACTACTTGGTGAAGCTGAATAATTTTGGAAACTTGAATTCAGTCCTAATGAAGTGTTAAAATTTTTATTAATGCTGATGAAGATGACATGAACTCTGGTTCGTGAACTCGTAAAGGTAGAAGGACTCTTAGAGATGATCTAACCCAATCCTTCCATTCTACAAAGGACAGAATCGAGTCCCAGGAAAGAGGCAGTTACTTGCTCAGGATCTCAAAGCTGGTTACTGGAAGGAAAAAACGAAGAAAACATTCCAACTCTCAAACCAGGAATCTTTTCTCAGAATATATCTTGTTGTGAGACCTGGTTCAAAAAGACTCTCTGCTAAACAAGCACATTCTTGAAATTTACCATTCTACCAAAATATATATGTAAGTCCAATGGGATCACGAATTGACTAACTGGTCAATCGCATCATAAACATTCACTCATTATTACCTTAAAAAGCCCATAAATCTCCACTGAGAAACAAAGATGTGTATCAATTTCAATTCACAGAGATTCCAAGCTTTTCAGGGTGATGAGAAGATATGTAGCATCTGAAGACAATGTATGATAAAATGTCAACCTGAGAGAGAAAGGAACAAGGCATTAGGCTGTTGCTGGTATGAAAAGAATGAAAACGTGGTATGGAAAATCAGACTTGGGAAAGAGAGCAAGAAGAGCTAGAAATACCCGAAGAGGTTTTGTGAAAAACATTGAGCTTGAAGATAGTAGCCGTTTCCGGTATTGCTGAAACTTACCAGCTACAGTCTTTCAGAGCTTCTGTGCGAGAGAATTCGCCTTGTTGGTATGAAAGGGTCTGGACTATTGCCACTGCTGAAGCTTTGCATTTGGTGATGTCTCCTTAGAAGAGAGGTTCTTAAACCAGAGAAGGATCTGTGATTTTGAATGAGAAAAAGCAACAACACTTCTGAACCTTCTGCTGAAGTGTAGCCTGTCCTACAATTGTGAATGGAAACAGCAAAGCCCGTAGCTGTGACTCGGTCATCAATAAAAATTACAGATATTTTCATAGCCTACTACAGTTGTTGCAGTCATTACTGATGTATTGAAAAAGCATTTATGCTCAGCACTCTTTGGAATGTATGGACATTATTAGATCTGCTTTAGATATTATTAATGCGTTAATAAAAAAAACATTATCGTATTATAAATTTCTTGTATTTATTACTAATTTCCACATAATTGTTTTTTATCCATTATCCTAATTAGGTAGAATAATGGCCCCCAAAGATGCCCATGCCCTAATCCCCAGAAGCCGTGGATATGTTACTGTCCATGGTGAAAGGGGCTTGGCCGATGTGATTGAGGATCAGGACCAGGAGGCGGGATTACCCAGGTGGGCTCCATCTAATCCCATGCATTCTTAAAGCGAAATTTTCCCATTGTGGTCAGAGAGGGGGATGGGAAAAGGACTCGATCAGCCTTTGCAAACTTCGAAGTTGGAAAAAGGGAGCCAGGAGCCAAGGAATATATGGGTGGCTTCTACTGGAACAGACAAGGAACCAGATTCTCCCTTACATCCCCCAGAAAGGAACGCAGCCCTGTCAACACCTTCGCTTCAGCCCAGTGAGGCCTCTGTCAGACTTCTGACCTTCAAATCAGTAAGATAATAATTTGTGCTCTTTAAGCCACTAAATTTGTGCTAATTTATTATGCAGCAATAGAAAACTAGCACGCTATTTTATGCATTTAAAAATATTATTTGGGGACACTTCACCAAAGGTGTTCATGCACAGACATAGGTTTAAAATTCCTACTTTGTTGTGTCTATGTATAGAGTTAAAAGGAAAAACCTTAGGCAGCTTGAATTGACACTGGTCGATGTCTATCGGTGCCTCTAAGGTTAATCTGACATATTTTTATGACAATGGTCCAAATGTTCCAGTAAAACTTTTTATAGCAAAATCATAAATATAGTTCTCATTCAAGCTTGGCTTTTTCTCCTCACTTTCTTTCTCAGTGGTTCTTGTTTTTTCTGGCTTCTACCTTTTCCGAACCCGGATTACATTCATTATACGCAACTCATTCATGCAGTCATGGGAGCCAAGGGAAGAGTGACTCTAATCCCTTTAATCGACATTTTTACTTTATTAGCTTCCGAATGAAAGCAGCAGCTACTAAAATATCATGCGAGAGAACTGCAGGAAAACGAAAACCCAGTAAAGAGGACCGAGGCCAAAGGAGATGTGTTTCCCGTTACCAGCGGTGAGAGTCTCTGGTGATTCCTTTTTTGAAATTCTTGGGATTAATTCCTAATTTGTTAAAGCTTGTTAATACAAAAAAAAAAAGATTTTAAAAAGGATTTCCATTTTTTTACCTGTTAAATGTCAGTGGCACGTTTTGAAGTATCTGGTTGTAAAGTTCTAGGGACAGGCTCTACAGAACTTCACCAGCACTTTCTTGTCTGTTGGTTTGAAACCTGTCAGAGAAGCAGTTCTTTGTAGTCCCAAAGAGATGCTTCTTCAATCATGGGAACGACACTCATGAAGCAACCAGTGTACATGCCTTTGTCAGTGACGGTGTTACTGCTGCCGTTAGGGGCAGCTTAGTACACACTTATTGACACGCCACCACCTCGTGTCACAAGCAGTCCTGTTAAATAAGTGCAAATAAAACATTCAAACTACCGCCCTGGCGCTGACTGGTTTTGCTCAGTGGTTAGAGCAATGGCCCACCGACCAATGAGTCACGGGTTCGATTCCGGTCAAGGGCACGTACCTCGGTTGTGGTTTGCCCTGGCTCTGGTTGGGTCATGTGGGAGGCAGCCAGCCGATGTGGCTCTACCACATCGATGTCTCTCTCTCTATCCCTCCCACTCTATCTGGTGATAAATATCCTCAGAGGAGGAATAAAAAATAAAATATTAAAACAACCAAGAAAGGCATTATAAAATTATAAATTATCAATCAATGTGCTTATAAAACTGTGCATAACACAACCTAATAGTTCCTTCTCAGGACTAGTTCCTTCAGGTTAATGCAAGACAGACATGCTGGCTTGGGGAGGTCAAGAACATATGGTGTCTACCAAAGTAGGACGTCTGGACCTTGGACAAATGGTATGCCAGACTTCCACTCTGCAAGATCTAATTTTGTCGATACATCTGCTTTCCGTACTTCATAAAACTCAGTGCACTTTCAGAAATGTAAAGCTAATCTTTTTTGTTACTAAAGTGGTATAGGTATGAGCTGTTTTCTAGGTAAGGGAGTAGGCAGTTGCTTTAGTGAAAAAGTAATTTAAAACTCTATGGAGCACATCCTAATTTTTTTATGGATTTTTCAAGAGAAGTTTTGCATCACTTGGCTTTTTTTTTACATTTTAGAAAACCCTCTGCAAGGCATTTTGAAAACGTTGCATGTTAAAATAGATGTCATATGACACAATTTTATGTACCCAAATGCCATGTTTTAAAATATAGTGACTATCTGCTCCCACTATACACTATACATACTCACTATATGTACCAAACTCCCATTTCCCGGTATTATTTATAGTCTACATTTGCAATATGACAAGTGAAGTATATTTCATTTTTAATGGACATTTCTTTTTATTATTAGTGAAGCTAACTATTTTCAGTTCTTGAGAACCATTTGTCTTTCATAGCTTGTGAACTTCAAGTTACTGTTCATTGCCAGTTGTTCTAGGAAAATTCAGTTTTATTGCCTGATATTACATTAATTTGCACATGCTCTTTACATAGAGATAACAATTCTTTGTTTTTTACATATATTTTCAAATATGTTTCCAATTTGTATTTCATTCTTATCTATGTTTTTATGTGTACACAGTAGAAAAAAATTAACTTTAGATGAGTCAAACACAAAGGACGTTTTCAATCCTTTTTAACTAAAGTCGGTGCCCGCCCTCCCCAGACCCAGATGAGGAAGGGCAGATGAACGTGCTCGGCTGGCAGGCTGTCCACGGCCAGCGACAGCAGTTCTCAAAGGGACAGTCAGAGGAGCACCTTGGGGACGAAGCTCAGCTGAGCGGGGCCTGTGTCATTTGTAAGAGGAAAGCCCAGCTCCCCACAGGGTTCTGAGAGCTCTTCTCCCGCCTCACTCCTGCGCCTCTTTCAGCATCTCCGCGTCGAAGGAGAGGTGTTAACGTCTTTTAAAACCTATGTCTGAGGAGACACAAGTGTCCACAACTCCAGGACTAGCCTGCTTTCCTTAGCGAAAGTCCTTTCCTCTGCATGGATCCTCCCCTCTCCGGCCCCCCAACACTGTGAATAGAGGAGAATCAGGAAACAGCCACAGCCTTGCTGTGCTCTGCTCCCCTGACTGCTCCCCATGAGCGTCCCTCACCTGCCCGCTGCATGGACCTGGGAGAACGAGACACCCCGTTGTGTCTGACGCTGTTTTCTGCAATGCACTTGGTGAATTAAGGTCTCTGACAGGATCTACACAGAGAAGATCTGACGTGATGAGGAGGCTAGCTCTCGGGTGCCCTCCAGAAGCAGTATGTGTGGAGCAAAGAGCGAGAGGTCAGCCTTTTGTTTACCACTGACTGTCAGAGGTCTTACTCCATGAGGGCAAAGACTCGGCTTCCTGCACTGCTGTATCCCAAGGCCCTAGATTGGTGCCTTACACAGTTGAGTACTCAGTAGGCGCAAGGACAGCATCTAGACTTTCCTGAAAGAAAATCAGGCTGCCCTCGACAGCATCCTCCTCTACGGCCATTGAGACAGGGCCCTTGCTGCTGCTCTGGGTCCTCCTGGCTCCCTCCCTGCCCTGTCTCCTCTGGCAGCCACGCTCCATGTAACCATCTCCTCACTGATCAATTCTAGTTTCATTACTTAAGCTCAGTTCTTCCCTCTGGATTCCAGACTTTACTTGCTATTTCTATTGGGATGACTTGAAAGGTACATACAGTAAACATGTCCCAAACTGAACATTCTCTCATGCCTCCCACCATCCGACCTGCCACCAGTGTCTCAGGAAACTCCCACACCATCTACTCAGTTGAGTCAGTTGTGCAGTCCAGAAGACACATCTGACTGCTACTTTCTCTTACCCCCCACACCCAGTCCATTGAACCCTGTCGCTTTGAACTCCAAGTACCTGTGGGTGGCCTGCTCTTCGACCCCCCTGCCCCAGCTCCCCCCGAACTACCAGCCCCTCGCACCTGGACTCTCCAACAGCATCCTCTCCTTCCTTCCTCGTCGACTTGCACCACAATTAGAGTCACTTTTTAAAACTTAAACTGATTCTTTTTTTTTTTTATTAATTAATTTTTGTTACAGATGTTTCTCCTTTTCCCCCCACTGATTTCCCCCCTCCCTCTCCCTCCCTGCCCTTTCCCCAATTTGTTGTCCATGTCCACTGTTCATGCATACATGCATATAAGTTCTGTGGTTTATCTCTCCCCCACCACCCCCCTCTTTAGGGGATTGTCAGTCTGTACCCCACTTCCACGTCTCTGGGACTTTTGTACCACTGTTTAAATCCCCTCAGTACGATCCCATTGCCCTCTGGACAAAGACCAAAACTCTTCACATTGTCTCTAAGGTGCTCCTAACCCACAACAACTCTCTTGCTCTTTGAGATTAAGCCACCCTCAGCTTCCTACAGACCCCCCAAAGTCTTTGCTTCCTCCTGCCCAGGACTTGGGCACATACTGAAGCTCTGCCTACAAATACTCTCTCAGCCTCTTTTTATACTTAACTTAATTCAGTCTTACTCATTTTTTTTTTTTTTACCTCAGATCTATTGCATATTGAAACATTTTTTGTTTTAACACACTTTTACAAGAAGGGATTCCCAGGTTTTAGATTTTATTGTTATTTGAAAAGATTCTACAGAGCATATATAGTCTATTAGTAGTCTAAGTGTTTCTCATACTTTAATATGTTTGCAAGTAAAGTTGACATTTCATTATGAGAATTAAGAACATTGAATATATTTACCTAGGGAAGATGCATCCCTTCTCCGGTACAAAGTAGCATTGATTTATCAAGATTCTAGACAACACTACCCTTAGGAAGAGGCCCCACGATTTTATATCTCAGAACAGAGGTCAGCAAACTATGTCCCACAAGCCAAATCTGGTCCACCACTAGTGCTTATCAATAAAGTTTTATGGGAACATAGCTGTTCTTATTCATGTATGTGTTTGCTGTGGTTGCTCTCATGATGAAATGTGAGTAGAGTAGTTGTGACAGAAACCATATGGTCAGAAAGCCTAAAATGTTTTCTTTCTGGCCTTTTACCAAAAAAAGTTTTCTGGCCCTGTCATAATATATAATGACAAGGGTTTTTAACTGAGAGAGTTCAGTGCCAGGTAGTACCAGTAATGCAGCAAGATGTTCAGTATGAATTCTCCAGAACATCTGGTCTGAATTGCACTCTATTCCAATGGACCTGCCAGGAAGAGTTGTCTACAGATTGTACCAAAGTAACAGAATCAATTGATTTGTCTGAAGAGTGACTTGAAATTGTACATTAATTGAACTTTAGAAAATATCTGCTAAATATGTGTGTGTGTGTGTGTGTATGTGTGTGTGAGTTAATGTTATAAGGTTGAACTGTTCTCTCAGGGAGTAATGTATTGTCAGGCTCTCCTCTTAAGAACATCTTGGATTATGACAGGAAAAAGGCATCATCATCGAAGAAGAGAAAATTTTTTGATGGTATTGACAAGTTGTCAGTGTTCAACTCAGGTAAAAACCAAATCATATAGATGTTAACAAGAGGCGGGCTTGTGCCTCCCCCTTCTCCAGCACTTAGCAATGAATTCTGATCTTTAAAAGACTGTTTCTTTAATCGCCAACTCTAGCTGCAGCATTTCAATACTTCCCATGAAACATACTTGTTAAAAGAATGCCTTCTTCCAGTCCTTCACGCTAAGTATAATCAGTAAGTGCATGCGTATGTGCAGAAACTAACTTCTAATTCTGTGTCTTTAGATGTGTGATAAATATTGATAATAATATCCCCTCGTTGAAAAGCATAAAGAATCAAAGCGCAGGCCTGGAGGTCCAATCACCAATGAAATCAAGCTCTGCCACTTACTGGCCATGTTTTCATGGACAAGTTACTCAAAACAACCAGATTTCTATCTCCTCATTTATAAAATGAGGGAAATAATAGTGCAGACGACAGAAGTTGTGCTTAAATAAAAACAAAATATTGTAAAAAGAACCTACACAATGTCTAGTGTAGAGTAAAAGGTGAG